CATGCAACAAGGACCCTTCATTTTCAATGAAGCGATAAAAATTGCATGTCACAATAAAAATCGAGAATAACTACGAGACTCCAATATTCTCCTCAAATTTTTCTTTCATCAATATATTATTAGATATATCAGCAAAAGTAACCTTAAAAATTTAAATTCACATAAAAAATATTATATTGAATTAATTAATTTCTCTTCCACATGATATATTTAAATACTTCACACATGCATTTACAAAAATGCTACTCTATTTATTCCATAATTGCGTGTTCATACACATAAGATATATAAATTATACTAAATCTTCATTTTACATTTATCCACAATCTTTGCTTTAGACTTCCGCGATTCGTGATTAAGAGATTTCTCATGACATTCCATCTACTAAGTGAGGGAGGGAGGGGGAGGGGGGGTTCCCTTGATCATCCTTCTGCAGAAACTCTTTTCTTCGCTTTCGTCAAATTCTCTTTATAAATAAATTTTCTAAGCGCCGCGAATCACTATATATCTTTGTGGCAAATCCTTCATAAAAAATGCAAAAGACAGTGCAAATTGCACGATACGCAAAATAGCTGATAATTTGTTACGATCGACGCGGCGGATGCGGGACCGACAGTGAGATCGTTGCGAATACGACCGGCTTCTCGTATCACGTTTAACGCGCGTCTAACGTCGACGAGGCTTTCATAACCACAATACTGAGAATCCACAATAATGTGTCACAACAAGTGCATAAATCACATGGCTGGTAGACGCGACGCGAGGCAATCCACTTTCTGGGGCGCTATTGCCCGCATCCCTCGTGCAAAAATTGTGGTTAATTCGGCTTATCGGCTTCCTAGACGTTAGTCTTACGAGACAAGCTCGACAGACCGGTAAACGTGGCGAGAATTGGGCACGTATTGCAACGATCTTACTACCCGGACCGCATCCCGAATTTATACAAATTTCGAGTAAGATCCGGAAATGTTTCTGAAGAAACGCACCGTTTATTGCACGTGCCATGAGGAGGCTGTAACAAAAACGTTAAATGACACAAAAAAAATTAAAGAAAATTTACGAAAAAAATAAGATATTGAGGGAGACGAGATGGAAGAGCTACTATAGAAGGGAGGTTAATATAAAGGAACGAAGGATAAATTAAAAATAGTCCTTTAAAATTGGTCGAAATACAAGTACGCTAATATTTTTTTTTTTTTTTTTTAACGTTATTCTTCCTCCTTTTTCCCAACGCGTCAGAACTCTACCCCTGATATTTCTTCTACATTCTTTCCCTTTAATTTTCTCTCTACAATAAAGTCCACGCATCGCAGACCTCAATCTCTCTTCACAAAAATCTTAATGTTTCGAGAATCGTTTTATACCTTGGTTGCTGCATCCCCATGGCACATCTAAGAAACGATGCGGTTTGCGCGAAGTGATGATTTGCTACGTTCGACGCGGCGGATGCGGGACCGACAGTGAGATCGTTGCGAATACGACCGGCTTCTCGTATCACGTTTAACGCGCGTCTAACGTCGACGAGGCTTTCATAACCACAATACTGAGAATCCACAATAATGTGTCACAACAAGTGCATAAATCACATGGCTGGTAGACGCGACGCGAGGCAATCCACTTTCTGGGGCGCTATTGCCCGCATCCCTCGTGCAAAAATTGTGGTTAATTCGGCTTATCGGCTTCCTAGACGTTAGTCTTACGAGACAAGCTCGACAGACCGGTAAACGTGGCGAGAATTGGGCACGTATTGCAACGATCTTACTACCCGGACCGTATCCCGAATTTACACAAATTTCGAGTAAGACCCGGAAATGTTTCTGAAGAAACGCACCGTTTATTGCACGTGCCATGAGAAAGCTGCAACCGAAACGTTAAGTGATACACGAAAAGTTAATGAAAATTTATAAAAGGAATAAGGTGTTGATAATGCCGAGACACTTAGAGAAATGGTCTGGTTGAATTAAATAGTAATTCTGGTGGTAAATGAACGAATCAGAATATTCTGGTTAAATCTATTGGAATTGTAGTTCAGATAACTAGAATTCTAATTAATATAGTTGTTTTAAAAATATGAATATATTTGACCAGAAATATTGTATCGTAACAGAATTCTAGTTATCTCAATTAGAATTCTAATAATATTAACCAGAAAATTTTAATTCGTTTATTTTCAACCAGAAATTTTTGTCAGTGTATTACAGAAGGTAATTTTAAGCGGAACGTGTGATAAAAAAAGGGAGAAAAAAACAGTTTTTGAAGAAGTCCGTCAATTGACTCTTTGGTGAATTAGAATTGCTTTTTGTAATTTAAAATTAAATAAATATTTTATTATTCAAAAATTTTAAGTTAAATTGTATGTAGGCTATAAGTAAAAGCTGAATGTTAATTGCTAAAGTGATTTTTAATATTAAAAACGTAGATAAGAATATAACATACAAAGGTTTCAACCTTCATTAGATCAATCTCATTATAACAAATATAGTTAATAATAAAAAAGTTCGCAACGCCAAGTCGGTTAACAATAAAATTCAAATAATATAAAAAGAATTACAAAATAGTCCGAAACTTTGTAACTCTTTTTGTATTATTTGAATTTTTTTGTTAACCGACTTGACGTTGTGAACTTTTTTGTTTTGAACTGACTAATAAAGGTTTAAAACGTTTATCTATGTTATATTCTTATCCATGTTTTAAATACTAAATATCATTGTAGCAATTGACATCCATCTTTTACTGGTAGCCTATATACAATTTAATTTTTTATATTTAATTTTGATTAATTTGTCGTTTCTCAATTTCGTCTTGAACGCATATTAAATATGACATTAAAATATATTGATTTTAAACTAATTAATGGTAATAAATTTTTATTGCAATTAATGTATCTATTTTTTATATTTTTATCTTTGTCACACTGTATACTGTTGTTTGTGACTTTGCAAATCAAAAAATGTATTTCTTTATGTCATTTAACGTAATCGTATAACAATTATTTACATTTATATTAAAAAAATCTCTGTATTATCGCGACACCGATCATTTTGCATACACGTTATTAAAATAGATTTTTGTTTTCTATTTGATGTTTGAAAAATATCTTCAACTCGATATAATTATTAAGTTATTTCTAACACTGAGTATGTTTTATTTAAAAAAAAATTGTTAACGATATAATTCATAATTTTGCAATTTATATTAATTTTACAATATAAATATCATAAATTATGCCTGGAATTCTTATGTTTGCACAACGTTTATGTGAAATGAAAATAATTGTAATAAAAATAATGGAAATAAAAGATACAACGAATAAGAAATAGCAAAATTGAATCATCATAGACCCAGTACATAATAACTGTATTTATAGCGACTATATAATTTTATGTTTTATCGGTGGGAATCTTTGTACTAATCGCGCTAATAATATTTTTATCATATTGATACTCCATTATTACTTTAAATTATACACTTTTTGTCTTATTATTTTGACATACTAAAGATGCCCCCCTTTTGGCCGAAACGTCTATAATTTATTATCTGTATGTATATATGTATATTTAAATATAATTACCCGGTAAAAACTAACAAATTTTTCATACATGAATATACATAAACATATATAAACACGCATAAATGTTCATAAACATGTATAATTATATATAAAATATATCCATACATGTCAATACATCCTTCTTTCTTTTGTAAAATTATTTTTTAGTATAATAAAAATAATAATAGTAATGTGAAAATATAAAAAATAATTAAAGGAATCATTTTTGCATTGTTTGTTTTAGTAAAAAATAAGTTTGGAAAAATATCAAAAAAATTATATCAAATATACATAAATATGCTTATAAATAATTTATGTATAAATTAATATATTAATTAATAATTTATGTATAATTTTATATATAATTATAC